AATGTTAAAATAGAAGTATAAATATTTTCAAGATTATCAAAGTCAACTGATGATTCACTGAGCCTACATTTATGCGTCCATGCCTCATTCGAAGATTATTAGCTTTCTGATGAATGGAGATGGTTTGAGGCGAAGAAGAAGACGACAAATGCTCAATCGTCAGGCTTCGGCACACTTCCAATTGCTTTGATGTTTCCGAAATCCAGTCCTGGCACGCCTTGCGAGCTCGACGTTGACGCTTGGCAGTATTTGAAAACTTATCCGCCATTTCGTAAAGATTCTACAAGTCACAAAGTAAGGTTAGGGAGGGGAGGGGGGGGGGGGTTAACAAACGCCCAGTGGCTAGTGATTTGGGTCAGGAAAACAATAATGTAAACATAAAAACTAAACATCAACTCACAGTTAAAATATTAATCAATGCAGATTTTTTCTCAGTTAGTTCGTTTAATATTCCTGAAGCATCGAGTGAACAGGTTTCAGGAGGATCGGGTGTAGTTTTAATACTCTTCTTTTCCCATTTAACGCCCTCTGCCACACCTTCGTCCAACTCTGGTAGAAAAGGTGACTGCAACCCGCCAGAACAGATATCCCTTACAAGCGTTTGAATAGCGGCTTTCTCTTTTTCTAGATTATTCGATTCTTGAGAAAGGTCATTCTTGACGTCATCTAACAACGTTAGAAGAGCAGTATTTGTAGGAATGGCGCTAGCATTTAGGGTCTGTTGGAAGATGGAATTGGAAGTATCGATAGTTTGCGCAAACCGTTTTGCACATCGACTGAACTCGCTCACTCGAATACCGACTCGGTCTAGTAGGGTTTGTCTTCCCTCTATCACTTGTTCAAAGGATCGCGTGTAGTGATTCAAATTTTTTAAACATGAACTTATGCGTGACTCGCCTTCATTGCCTTCCAATGAACAAATGAGGTTGAATTTATCATTAAGACCTTTAAGTGCATCTAAAACATCACGATATTCCTCCGATGGAAGACAAGTCTCTCTAGCCCATTCAATCACTTCAGCACTTGGAATTCCTGTCTTGCAGACTTCTTGGAAGACATCGAAACACTTCGTCAACTTAGCTGCAATGCACAAGGTCAGGTAATATGTCTCGCATAGATCACGAACAAAGCAAATATGTTGATCAGATATCTGAATCCATCGAAGACGTTGACTTTCGGCAGTTTGCTGTTGAAGTACCAGGCTTTGATGAAGAGCCTGAATTCGAGAAATAGTTTCATGAGGAATGGCTAACATTTTGCCTTCTCCTGATGTTAGCTTCTCGAAATCCATGGATATCCTCTTCGCCAACTCAATATGATTGTCAATACCGGTGAGTTTGCCCTAAAAAGTAAAATAAGAAGACAAGAAGCATCTGAATAATGCTGAATTTAGCCTAAAAGTTATGCCTACCTCAAAATAGTCAATCATTTCCCGTTTTTTCTTCAAGTCATTTGGAGCATCTCTAAAAGCAGGGTTTAACTCTGAGCAGAGTGTGGTCTGCCAGGCTTCTTCCTCGTCAATTCTCTGCAAAATTTCATTCAGCCCACTCTGGAACTTCCCAATCAATTCGACCCTCTCGTTGATTCTTGCTTCAATCTTTGTAACCTCATCCATCAGCTTTGAAGAGATGGCCTCTGCGAATTGAACGTCTGGTTGAGGAAGGACACTTATCCACTTTCTAGATCTTTCTATCAGTTCACGTACAGTTGCCAATTCAATGCTCAAAAAATCACTAAAACAGGTCTGTTGCCATTCCAGAGAAACACCAAGTTCTTCACGGAAGAGAAGATTGTTAGCCCTATCTGAGAGTTTCTCAGTGGCGTTGACAGCTGCATTAGCATCCTCTATAGCAGCCTGTGTATTCTTTACCGCATCTTGCTCACTATTCACTGCTGTTTGACTATGCTCAATTAAATCAGCGTAGCTATCCGCCAGTTCTTGTTCTAGTCCTCGAATAACTGAAGAATCTGCCTTGGATGGTGGTGGCCCCTTGAGCTTTCCAAGTTCCTCGGTAGTAGATAAGACCACTTTCCTGCGAGCTACCGACTCCGTGTGCAGTTTCTAAAGGAAACAGAGATACCGCTTGACAACCACTTAATGATAAGAATTAGGGGTGGGAGGGGGACGTTTAACATACCATTAGTTTCGAGAATCGTAAGGACTGCGCTTCAGCCAACCCATTCCACTCACTCACTATAAAACGAGGTTCATCAGAATCTAGAAAAGGTCTGGATGGCTCATCGACAGGCTTATTTATAATGGCAATTAGACGTCCTTCAGCCTCACGAATCCATGTCACCATATTTACAAAAGCGTCGGCGGAGTCTTGAATAGATGTAAGGGCCAATTCAGCAATACTACGAGCATTCATTGCTCGATTCACGAGATCACTCCAACGATCTTGAACAGCCTGGGCAGCAAGAGGTAGAAATTCTTCACCTGACTGTGCAATCACCATTAGGCTTTCCAATTCTTTGGTTTGAAAATCACACAGACGTCTCTCAACAGCTGTCACCTTGATAACAAGATCTTGGGTGTCTGGTGTCCAAGTTTTGATATCTCCACGAAGAACCGCGGAATTGAGAATATCTCCCAGATCAGCTTCGATATTATTTAATCGATCTTGACACATACTCAACTCGTCATGGTAGAGGTCTCCTTTGCTTAACTGAGTGTCAAGTCCCGCTTGATAATCAGACACATTTTTTTTGCAACTGGCATAGAGCTCTCGCAACTGCAATAATCTTGATTTGAACTTATGTGCTGCCGAACATTGAGAAGCAGAAGTTTGAGCGACTTCGCCTATTGCATTCAAGAACTCGTCAAATGCCGATTCGGTGTTGTTGAATTTCTCATCAAAATTCTCATTATTCAACTCCTCCTCAATCTGCCAGAGAACTGACTGCTCAACGAGGATATCATTTCGCAGCGAAGACCACTCCTCATTCGTTAATCTGCAAACATCGGGAGATGTTAGTTCTGAGATGTATGCTTTCTCAGCAATCCGGGCCTTAAACTTGCCAATGTCGTTATTCAAAATTCTATAGCTATTCGACAGGGCAAGACAGGCTTTGATATACTTCTCTGTGTTGAGTCTGAGGTTTCGAAGTTTTAATAGCATTTCCCGGGTCTCGTCAGCAAGTCTAGGAGAATTAGGAGCATCTCCGACAGTTTCTAAAGCTGTCTCGAGTTCTCTAGAAAACTCTGTAATTAACTGTAGGCTGTTAGATAGTTGGACCACTACTTCCTCAAGCATTTCTATAATAGGTTCAGAGGTTATTGGATTTAGCTTCTCCCATGTAGAGATCTCAACAATTTCCCATTCCAGGGCTGTAAAGCGCCGTTGAACACTCTCAACAGAGCGAAAGAATGCCCGTTGTAGAGCTTCATTTTCTTCTGCTCTCTTCACCTGATCTTCAGTGGCGGTGAATCGAGTGGCAACACATTGTTGAAGCCAGGTAAACCGTTTTTTGGCATCGATTAGACGAGAATGAACTCCAGATAGGCTTCCATTCGCACCACTCTCATATTCAAGATCGGCAGATTTGAAAAGGTCCTTCAGTAGAACTTCATGCACTTGAACATCCGTCATTCTTTGCTAAATGATAGAGGTTGGAAACAAATACAAACTCTTACCTTGTATGTAGAAACCAGGGCCTGCTTTTCCCAAAAAAATGATTCTTCATTAGCAGCAACCTGAGGATCTTTTGTACCAACAGTAGGAATAGCCCATTTCGACTCGCATTCAGACAGCCAGTCAATAAATCTAGAACAGTTACTATAGAAAGTGGAACAGGTAGTGAGTTGGATTTCTGCTCGCTTCTTCTCAGCATTTAATTGAGTGAGGTAGTTGGCAAGATCGTCCTTGAGCTTATCATTGGTTCTCATTAGACCCTCTCGAAATATGGGAAGTGGAGAGGATATTGAGTTGGAAGACGAGTGGAAATAAGGTGCTTGTCTAATATTTCCCATCCATCGATTCACTTCTACTGCTTCTGATTGAAGGTCCAACGCTGCTCCTTCCATTACATTGACTAGCCTTTTCCCGTCATTGAAACCGGAGACAAAACTCTAACGAAGTAAGAGCAGTAATTGAGGTCTCGAACAAAAACTGCAATTAAAGTCTTTAGAATGTTACCTACCTGAATCATAGCTAAATACATTTCAGCTTCTTCAGTATCTAATGAATTTGCAGCATTAGTCCTCTCTGATTTTAACTTAAGAGAAGTCTGAGATTGATGAAGCCACGTTTTTGCTTCTGCAACACGATGATCGTATTGATTGAAACAGCTAATGAGAGCTGAGAGCCTATCATCAGCTTCATCAATAATGCATGCCATCCAATGGAATTTTTTATCAAGAGATGCAAAATCGGTGGTGAAGTGAGAAAGAGTATCCTGAGGTGAGTAGGAAGTCTGTTCAGAAGTGTTTGACGTTCCAAGGGAGGCAATTAGGGAGGCGCCTTTAGAAATACATGCATGCATTGCGGAATTCGATTGATTACCAAGGGTTTGTAGCGACTTAAGTTCTGATCTTAAGGGCTCTAAATCGTTCTTAATGGACTAAAACAGATAGAAATGAGAGCACATGAGCACCAATCCAGTTCAAATACACTTTAATCCCTCTTCACTTACCGAAAACTGGGCTAGAGCAATTTCACAGGAAGACAGATCCAGGGCGGCTTCAATGTTGCTTAGAGCTATTTCAAGACGTTTGTGTAGGTCTTCAAGCACAAGAGTTATCTTAGAAATTGAAGTGAGCATCTCGTTCAACGTTGACTGCAATTCGCCAACATGAATAGCATACTCAATCAGATTTTGTCTCAATGCTGCAATCATTGTTCTATTCTTTGTATTGAATAGGTCGTCTCCCAAAGCAAAAGTCGCGGGGCCATTCTCACAATGCTGAAAACGCTGAACCATCTTGTACAATTCGACGATACAAGAGAGCTCAGCTTCTAAATTATCGATCCTCTTTTTGGAGTCCTAAAGTTAGAAGTTAAGTTAATCGTTTGCACGATTACACATCACAATAATGCTTATGTCAATAAAAAGTACCTGGACTTCACGCTTTCGCTCAGAAAAGTAGCTTGAAACAGAGTCTTGCTGATCGACTTTTAGAAGGAGAGGAAGTTCAGCAAAACTTCCGAGTTTTTCTAGCCTTTCGGAGAGTGCATTAAGTTCAATTGACCAGGAATTACTGGCATCATTTTGCACTTTAGAAATAGTCTTACAAATTCCCCCCATGCAACGTTTGACCTGAGTATCTACGGAGGCTAATCGGAAGCTCAAGTTGGCACAATTTTTCGAGAGGCTGTCTAACTGGTCCTTCGGTTTTGTCTCTGGCTCTTCCTTCTTCCCCTTCTCGTCACCTAGCTGATATCGCAGAAGCTTTCTTCGCTTCAGATGCATTCTAAATGAATCTCGGTTGAAACAGCGGTTTGAGAGGACTTCTACCCTTGAAATCATATCCATATACTCACTCCTAATCTGTTGGGCTTCCTCAAAAAGATCCACGAGAACACTAATTACCTCAATACGATCCTTTGAATTTGAAGCCAGAGCCAGTGAAGGACCACTTTGAAGGCTAATTTTATCCAAACGATCAATGAGAACTTTTAGTTGATCTGATTCACGATTGAGTTCATTATTAACAGCATCATCTTGAGCAAGATAGGACTTCCATAGGTCTTCCATACCACTCACAGCAGAAATTAATCCTCCGAACCTGTCAGCAATTGTCTTGGTCTGTGAATCAAACACATTGGATAGAATCTCACTATCAGAATCAATCTCCAACTTTGTCAATTCAGAAAGCTTGGAGTAGTGTTCCTGTTCCGCATTGAAAACTTCTAATAGGTCAGCTGGATCTTCAACTCCCTCAGTAAATTGAATGGCTTCAGGGATTACAGATTCATTCGTAGACACGGAAAGTAAGTGGATAGCCGATTGAACTCTAGGAAGCAGCTCATTAACCCATGAATTTATATTATCAATATTGGTTTCAATCAACGTCATAGTCTGATGTTTTTCCTCGAGCATTTTTACCGATTCGTCTAGAATATCAGATAGACGTTGGGATCTTGAAACGATCCTGTTCCGTAGTGTGTCGTCCTCCAACCTTTCAACACTTGGCTTGGAATTAGTTTCATCCATGATCACGTCAAAAGCACAAATGGCTGCTGAACTGGATTGTTGTAAATGCATCAATTTGGAGGGTAAGTGGGCACGAAGGTAGGTTCGAGCTTTGGAGAGTTTACTGACTAACTTTTCAAGATCTCGGGAAGATTGAACTACTTCCAAAAGACCCTCTAAATCCGACTTGTAAGACATCTCCATTTTGAGACTACTAACACCGATCAATTCGTCAGCAGCTATTAGGTCAGGAGAAATCTCAATACCAAGGAGATTGGTGGCTAAGTTACTTACTGATCGAAAACCAGCTTGTTGTTCCACTTCTTTGACAACCTCATTCACATTTCTAATTGCGATCTCTCGACTTTCATATGCTTTAATAAGCCTTTCTAATTGATAGGCGATTTCAGAGAGCCGAATGGAAACATTGAGTAGGACTGTTCGATTTCTATCAAGCATGGCTCTAACAACTAGAGTTCGAGATGGCGCTAATTCAATCAATTTTTCACCATCCTTTTGTAACTCGAATAGGCGAGAGACAAGTGGAATATCGGTTGATTCATCAGCCTTCGTAGGCGATTCAAACACTTCTTGCCATTGCCTTAATTGAGTAGAAATTTCACCGAGCCTATTTTGGTTTCCCGGTCTGTCTAATCGAGTATTAGTGAGTTCCACAGCGCTTTTCACCAGAGAAAGCGTCTTTTCGAGGAAATCTTTGGTATACTCAGCAAACTCATCACTCCCCTTAGTAAATTGGAGCCAATTCGTACAATAGACATTAAGAGAGTTCCAATGGTTAATCATCCCAGTTTTAAGTTTATCACTGTCACTGATGATCCTGCCAACATCTACATAGAAACTGAAAGGTTCAAGAGATGATGAAGCCACTAAGATTTCATCCCGCCTTCCAGTTACAAAGAAGATTCCTGTGGCAATTGAAGCTGTGTCCAACTCTTGAGGAGTAAAATCCTTCTCAAATTTAGCTTCTTCTTCCACGCCTTGGAAGTAATCAGGAATCTTCGGTTGCTCTGAAGTAAGCTTATAACCCAAGATTTCAACTTTTGTGCCATTGAGAGCTTTCAACCAATCAATGCAATCCTCCTCATATGATCGATCGACTGGAATAGTCTTCAAGAGTTTGGAAGTTTCCTCAGACTCTGGAAGATCGTTGAGAATTTCGACAGTAGTACCAGCTTGAATTAACTTTTCTTGAATGGATCGGAGACCTCTAAGTTTGCCAAACCATGCAGAGCGATGTTGTTCATAGGCATGGCTCACTTCACATATATATTGACGTTTCAGAGCCCGTAAAGCGAGGAGACTGATCTCTCTTGACAGAAATTGGAGTCTTTCTTGAGCTGTTGCCTCCTCCGTGTCTAATTGCTTTACCTGAGACATTAAGGACTCAATGGTTGTGTGAATATGAACTGAGATTTCGGAGAAGAGAGATTTCAACTCTTCGATCGCCTCCTGTAGATTCATGTATCCATCGACGATTTTTTCAGATGTTGAATCCGTTTCCTTTGTCCGTTTAGCATCATCTGCAATGCAGGATGAATGGGTGAATGAGTGAGTGTACTTTTGCAACTATATATATACTAGCAATAAAATTAGACATTTGAGGGGGGGGGGACTATGCGCGTACTGTCCGAAAATATGAAGAAGGAGAGATATGACCAACAGCGTTGTTTTAACGTTTGTCTATGTGGCAAGATCCATAGGGCCTTCAAGATTCAAAAAATCGTTCACAGGGGTTTGATAGCACCTTGGCAGCAATTATGACTACTTCCCATAGTTTGTCTGGCTATCACTGACAAAGCTAAAAATGGATTTTGGAGACTATTGTTAAAATCAAACACCTGATACTAAAACCCGCCTGGCATAGAGTCGCGTTGGTGTTTAAACGCCAATTCATGAAACTCTGAGGTTTTTTAATTCATTCACTACCATTAAACTTATACTTAAATTAATGCCTGGCGAGCATTGCAAGCAGTTTCAAAATGAGTAGAGGTGAGTGCTCCACCTTACAATACCAACATATCATGAATATTGTCATCCATTTTCAAACCTTCTTCTAAGAGATTTCGCATTTTCCTAGCCTTGTTAACAAGTGTGATTGACTAAGTCCTTTAATGGAATTTCTCGAGGACAAGGAGACTCAAAACCCTCACTTGGGGTGAAATCAGAGAGACACTTGCATTAATTTAGGAGAGTTTTTTAAGTCTATAAACCTCCACGTGATGCACCCTGGGCAACGTAAACTCATACGGCAAAAATGTCTATCAATCAGTAGTTGAATTCAAACTACCATCACCCCACTGTATGCCATATTCGACTACTTCCAAAGCACTCACCTCACCTTTTTTCTACCTTTGTGTCTATCTCTTTTACATTTTTGAAACGCTCTTCTATTCCCACCCTCTTCTCGACTTTTTTTCACTTTGATGTTCATTCCCCTCTGTCAAGCCTGAAGTCAACTAAAGGGCTAATGATAGCTATCAAAACGCCTGCCACTTGATATAAATAAATACTATAAAGGCGAATTGGAGACATTTAAGAGATTTTGTCTTGTGAAATGATTACCTATGGATTAAGAAATTCAAAGTGCATTTTCTCTAGCACAGTTCAAAATCCTTCCAACAATGTGGCTTTAACCTCAAGGTACGGCATATACTAAAGGTGCTTGATAAGAGCAAACTGATTTTTGCAGATGGTGAAACATCTTTAAATTTTGTTCAACTCCTCAAGTTAACGAATATCGGCATGTTTGAGAGGTAGGAATGATAGCTCCAAGACCATTCGAACAATAAAATTAACTAGACACGCTTGTTGTTAATGGTACTTAATTGTAATCTCCAAATGAAACATGATAGTTTATCACTTAGAGAGGGTATATGTGGGGCAAGAATCTTGGGCATTAGATCGGCAGTGCTGGTGTACCGGGGTGGATTCTAGTAGGGAGAAATGCATTTCCGGAAGGAGGGCTGTACCTAAATTTCTCTCTTTCCTATCTAACCTCTGCCTGTACTCATGCATTTCCTGTGTTCTCCACCCAGCAAAACCTCTTCGTAGCCTTATGTCACCAAATTTTCTCTCCTTTCAGCGTTACAGCTTCCATGCTAATATTTTTTCTTCGCTGTAACTATTTCAGTTTCCTATTTACAACGCGGAACTCATTTATGAATAAACAAAAAAGTACATATGTAGCTCGGGCTAGCACTCAGACGAAAAAGTGCTTTAATAAGTCTACTTCACAATATACACACCTGAAATGTGTCCTTATTTGCAACATTGATAGTTAAGCGTTGTAAGCAAAGAGACAGCTCAAATTCATTTAAGTACAAAATAAAAAATAAATATTTACTTATAACTTACCTGTTTGAGACTGGGAGCGATTAAGGGAGACGTGAGGATGAGTCGAAAGAAGAATCGGAGCAGAGGGAATCCAAATACCTGTGACCCTCGAAAGGCGTTTTTCAGCTACAGTGATCATGTGGATAAGTTTTTCGACATTGTTTGCAAATTTATCCTGTTCATCTAACTCTCCCTCTAACTTCGTATTCATCCCTTGCAGTAAGGAGAAAAGGCCCCGTATTTGCTCACCCACAAGAGTGTAGCGTCGAGGCACTGTGTGATGCGTGGACTCCATTGTTATTTTCGGGGCCCCCTTGGGGCCACTACTCGAGAGGAGGGATAGCACAGTCTCTGTCTGAGGCCTCAGAGCCTTCCAGCGTGCTTTGAGCAGTCGAACTGCCTCCAATTGTTGCGCTACTTGGTTGGCGCGATGGGAAGTGACGTCTGTGGTGTCTGCGCGCGTGCTCTCTACGCTCTCAGCCAATTGCTTCAACTCTTGAGAAATTCTTTCCATTTCATTGGTCCACATAGACCAATCAGCTATTAAGGTGTCTATAATTGAAGCGTGCGAAAGTAGCCAACCATCTGCTGACTCCCAGCGCTGCAATAATTGCACACTTTGGCCCTTAATAAATAAAAATTAACAATAATTAATTTTATAAATAAACATCTCATTCTAGCTTTCTTCTTTTCATTTAATACTAAATGACTTATGTTTAAAGGACGAGACTGGACAAAATAGGACTTATTTACACAACCAAATAATCAAGCATATACAGTTGTTGGACGCCTAAACACTTTAAAAACATTTGATCTTTCCTCTAAAACTTGAAGAACGGATGAAATGTTGCTAGCATTTAAGTAGCCGAAAGTTAATGTCTCCAGGTGTCAAACGGCTGAATGGATTAGACTTACAACAGAGAGTGCCGGTTAACCAGTAAAGTATACGAGTATCATCCAACAATCTTGCCATTGAGTGGGGAGGGGGGNCCCCTCCCCTTCCCTCCCCTAATCGATTTGTACACGGTTAATTTTGCCCGCTTATTACTTTGAGCAGATTAAAAAATTGGTGTGCTTAAGTAAATGGGCCTATTCGACTGCTCAAAGAAGTGGAAGGGGGCGTGACACGTTTGCGTACGCCTGTCCTTGACTTTACCTTGCATTAGCATAACTCACTCATTATAAGTGGCTAATTTCCATCAACTTGTAGTCACCACAGCAAATGCAGAGCCCTAGAAAAAAAGTGAACTTAAATCCATCTTTTTTCAAAGTAATCATACTATTTCTTCTGTTCATGTATGAATTCAATTCTGGCAAATTTGAGCAGAGTTTAGTCTTTTAATTTTTTCTGAAATTTTAACATACTCAATGTTGCAATTCAAGGTAACCCAAATGGGCCTACAACTTCATCTGAATATTCACCTCAGGCAAACATACATTTTGAAGTCATATTTGAAGGTCAATAAAATTTTAAGTGTTTCACAAAAGTATTATGAAAGGCATCTTGTGCATATGCTATAATTATTTTGTGTAAATACCAAATGGGAAATCATTTATGTAAAAAAGTAAATCAACGCACTTATAGGAGCAGTCCATTCAAATGTGTTGAAGGTCAAATAAAGATGCCGATCACTTACTTATAGAGCATCTCGCTTGGTCCTTATTTAATTAGCAACTACTTAGAATAAGAAATGAAGAGAGAAAAATCATTGATATAAATCGATTTTCTAAGTTGTGCTTCAAATAGGTAAAAGCGGCCGGTTGGGTAGGTAGAAAATAATTGCGATGAAGCCATCTCTATGGGCGGTATTATATGTCCGGATAGACAAAGTAAATTAATTAATTGAAAATCTGGTACTTTAGACTTGAAAATTGTTATTCACTCTTGTGTTTAATAAAAATATTCGAATTAACTTCCCAATGCTTTCTATAAAAAATATATGACCGAAGTGACAACTAAATTTCCGTTTGGTGTCTAAACAGAACAAATGCGGCATGCTCTGTTATGAAATTAATTTTCCTGCAAACGAAATGATACCATTTTTCCCATTAATTTAGATATAATTATTAAAGGAATCTTTACAAATTTTTAAATTTGCATGTTCCATGGCAAAACCCCAAATCTATGTTTTAGTAGCATGGGGTGCGCGATAGACTTACCTTCATGTGGTGCACCCTAGGCAACGTATATTCATACAGCAAAAAGTCTATTAACTGGC